ATTTGTGAGAGCCCAGGGGGAGGCAAAGAGAGATGACCAGAGATAGGTGCAGAAATTGAGGCCTGGCCAGGAGACATTCTGATCCGAAGCTGCCTCTCCAGAAATTGAGAAGAGTGTTGGAATATGTGGATTATTTTTTTTTTAAGACAAAAGAACGAGAGATCAAGGAAACAGAAAGGAAACAGAGAAGAGGGTGAGAAAGTGGGAATTCAGCCCCTGTGAAAGAAGGTTCTCTATTAAACCCTGATAGAGCAGACTACTTGTTCCAGGGTCACCTTGAATATTTTTATTTCTGTCCACTGCTGCTGACGTGTCCTTCCCTCTGTACAAACCTCCCTGCTTCTCTTTCCCTTCACCCCATTGCTGCAATTCCAGCTAAAACAAAAGACATCTGTAGGGCGTTCTGCTAAGTCTGCAGCGACCTTGTTATGGCTGATTTGCCTGAGTGGGTTTGGGACAGATTTTCCAAAATGAAGCACAGTTTTGTGTATAATAAATGCATGCACAGATATCTTTATTGCTCTGTGGATTGTTTTTCTCTAATCCAATAAATATTACGCAAAGGTCAGGGTCAGAATGAGATGGCTTCTCCTTGCCAGCAGACTGTAAGCACTCACAAAACGAAATCAGAATAGGCAAAAGGAGCACTAATGGTCTTCATCCTTTATATCTGCATTTCTTCAGTAATGCTCACATTTTATAAAACTGAAGTTCAAGACAACTTTTTCAATTTATGAGCAATAAGGAGCAAATGGAGAAGATCATTCATGAAAATGAGAAAGTTTTCCAATTATCAATGACATTCATCTTTAAACCCCCCAAAGCATGCTTTTCCAGAAATGTTGCCGTCAATGTGAAAATGTAACTATTGATTTTACTTTCATGGCAACATTGCAGGACAGAACTTTCTACTTCACATCAGAAAAGGTTTTAGAAGTTAGTTTTTTTAACCTCTTCATTTTTGCAGATGATTCTCAGGTGACTTCAGTGACTGACTTGCCCAAGGGCATACAGGTGAAGAGATGTGTAAAAGTAATAACAGAAATATTAATAGCAAAGAATGATTAAGTGCTACCCATGTTCCAAGGATGGCTCTCGAAATTTTATAAGCATTAACTTGTTTCGTCCTATTCAAAATTATGATGTAGTTACTTTCATATCCCCATTTCATAGATGAGTCAACCAAAGCACAGAGATCATGTGGATAGTGCTAGGTTACATCACTGTTTAGAAGTGGAGCCATGACTCAACACAGGCAGTCTGACTACAGAGATTTGGACATTTTGTGTGACAGCATAGGAAAGAGAGCCTTTTTAGTATCTCTATGAAAGAAGAGAAGAAATAAAAGCAAATAAACAGATATTTCCCATGTACTCTGCAAGAGACAGATCTTTTTAGATCAGTGTCTTGAGATATTTTCTATTTGTTATTTTCAGCATATATACATGTGACTCTACAGAATCCTCCTTAGACTAGAAAGAAAACCACAAAGTTTTTTTAAATTATAGTGATTATATCTAAAAGTCTTTCTTCCTCCTCTCCAGCCACTTGAGAAAAAGAGAAGGAAATCTGAATCAAATCACAGACTAGCAAAGAACTGTAGGTGCACCTTTTTTTCTTCCTTTCTTTCTTTGGAAAATAATTTTTTTTAGAACAAGTAACACCTCTGGACCTCAGAGTCTTCTTCCGTTAAATGAAGCAATAGGACTGAGTTGGGTCTAAGGTCCTGGCCATCCCAGACTCTGCGATGCCTCTCTCTCTGACTTCCCTGGAAGGACAGGGAAGTGCTTTGCTTGCAACAGCTGGTTTTCTGCTAGTGTAGGTGGCCTATGGTGCTAGGAGCAGTGGTGCCTGGCATCAGTCAGTGGCCATGGTGATAGGCAGAGCTCTCTTCTCTCCTCTGTGAGGATCATGTGGTTTAGCCTGTATTTCTGCTGTTCCCAGGTGACCCTGTAAGATTATTTTATAGCTTTCCTTTCCCCGACAGTGTGTCAAGCTCTGCCCCACCCCGGGCTACAGGTTGGATCTGGTCTTAGCACCCAGTCTCTCCTGGTCTGAGTTTGTCTTTGATCTTTTCCAGGCATTATGAGAATTGAAGAGCTGCTTTGTTTCTAAAACCATGCCCTAGTCAGAGTTTGAAATCAGACTCTCCATGCTGCTCCCCTGTGCTGAAATCCTGATGTGATGACAGAGATTATGTATGTCGCCCTTAGGATACACTCACTACTCACCCTCACTTCCTTCCTCTCAGCCATCCCCGTGGAATGGAGTCATTTCCCAGAGTCCCAGCGCTGTTAAGATATTTTCCATATGTCCTTCAATTTCTCTGGGTCACCCAGCACTTCCTAGGATCCCCTCTGGTATTCTCTGCAGCAAGCTCTGTTCTACTGTCACCCTCTCCATCTCAACTTTCCTCCTGCCCTTAGCTCTCTTGCTGGCTGCTGGCTTCAATTACTCATGGCTTGAGCCCTGTATTACATTCCCCAGCTTCCATGTTCCTCCTGCCTCGTGGCTTCTCCCATATCTGAGCAGAATCAATGAATCTCCCTCTTCTCTGTTCCTTCTTTTTTTGTTCATGCACACGGAAATTATTTGTGAATTGAGTTGTATTTTGTTAAATTTTTAATACCTGATACTTACGTGACTTGCCTGCCATTTATTACGTGCTCAATAAATAGGGGTTGAATGAATGAAATAATGTCCTAGCACTCATTATCCTGCCAGCCCTCTGCAGTTAACACTGCTATGTCATTTAATGAGGAAAGACTGGCATCTCCTTTCTTCTGCTAGCAGTTAGTTCTCCTTCCTATCACTCACTCGGCAATAACCCAGGCCACACAGCACCACCTGAGAATGTACAATTATTATGTGTTGATTAAAAAATTTAAAAATGTATTTTTAAAAAAAATATCCAGCAAACAAGAATCTCCCCAAGACTGGTCTTTTATCTTGTGATCCAAAACTTTTCTCTATTTCTCCAGAAATGGTCGACCAGCCTTGTAGAAACCATTAGGTTCATTTTCTTTTTAAAGCACAGCATAAAAAATACATATGCAAAGCAGAATCAAAGTTAAACAGATGTATTTGAATAAGTCATCCTCCTGTGCATGGGATCTGGATAAATGATGTGTGCATGGTGTAGGGATAGTGAAGCTCTCGGTCACTGTTAGCTTCTAAGGACAGCAATCAATATGAGTGCAGGTTCTCACCAGCATGTAGCCTAGGAGCAGCTGCACAAATCACAGATCCTGAAAGTGTTGCCTTCCTCCTTTTCCAACCAGTATTTATGAGAAGTGAAGTGGGCTAGAGGAGGAAAAATAATAATTGCCAATCAGGGAGCACTTTACATACATAATTTTATAATGTAAATCACATCATGCTCCTCTCTACTCAAAGCCTACTCATGGCTTTTCCTGTCACCCCTAGTACAGGTACAGAAGGTGGCCAGAAGGGCACATAGGACCCACCTGCCCTTCCCTACCTCACTTTGTCGTCATCTACCTGCTCTTTGTGTTTGTCCTTCTGCAGACTCACTGGTCTCCTTGAATATTCTGGCACGCTTCTGGCTTTATGAGGGCTGTTCCTTCATTCCAACATTCTTTGTGTTCATTTTCAAGGGTTGCCATAACAAAGTATCAAAAACCGGGTGTGTAAAACAACAGAAATTCAAATGTTCCCAGCACAAGGAAATGAAAAACACTTGAGGTGATGTATATAACAATTACCCCAGTTCGTTCGCTACACATTGCCTACATCTATCAAAATGTCACACCCTATACCACATGAGTATGTACAATTATTAGGTGTTGATTAAAAATTTTTTAAATGTATTTTTTTTTAAATCAGAAACTTGTTCTTTCACAGTTCTGCAGCTGGAAAACTGAAATAAAAGTGTGGACAAGGCCATGCTTCCTCTGAAGTCTCTAGGAGCAGACCCTTCCTTGTCTCTCGTACTTTCTGGTGTTTGCTAGCAATCCCTCGTGTTCTTTGGCCTGTAGACATGTCACGTCAGTCACATGGTGGTCTTCTCCTTCTCTTTCTTTCTCTCTCCCTGTGTCCACATTTCACATTTTAATAAGAATACCAGTCAGATTAGGACTTATCATAATGAGTTCATTTTAATGATTACTTCTATAAAGACCCTATTGCTAAATAAGGTCACACTCTAAGTTTCTGGTTAGAACTACAACATATCTTTAGAGGGAGACATGATTCAAACCCTTATACTCTTCTCCCTGTTTTTTTTTTTTTTTTAACCTACTCTCACCTCTCCATTCCTCACCTCCTCAGGGAATCCTGTTCCACCACCATATCACAAATCCTACCTTTGCCCCTACCATCAGTGCCTGTCTCTCTTCCATGGTCATTGCGCCATATCGCCTACTATTTATTTTCCATGTTAATCTTATTTTTGTTTATCTCCCTTGATACATTATCAGCTTCACAACAGCAGTGATTCTGTGCTTCATTCGCTGTGGTTTTCACAGGGTCTAAAAGAGTACCTGCTCCATGGTAGACACTCAGCAAATGTGCACTGAATTAATAAACTTTAATCCCCCAAGCAGACTTGGAGTTATCAAAATGATTGTCATCATCCTCACTTTGAAAAGAAAGCAACTGATTCTGGAAAAGATTAGGTATCTTGCTTAAGATAATACAACTAATGAGTTTTGGAACTGGGATTTGAACCAGGTCAAATTGACTCTAAAACTCATGTTCCATCCATTATGCTGTGTTGCTCAGGGCAGAAGGAGGGACTTCCTGCAGATGTGTGAGGAATTCTGCAGCTGCTTAAATTATTGCTTTTTTTCCCTCTAGATAAAACAAGCACTTGAAAAAAACATCATCAAAATGTAAATCTTCATGTCTAGGTAAGTGGTCTGGCTCAGCCCATAATGTCACTCAGACAACTGTGACATTACACTACACTTTGTGGATCTCTAAAAAAAAAAAAAAAAAAAAAAAAAAAATCCAATTAGGCAAACTACTCTTTGGCTCAGGTGATGGTTTTATTTCTCTGGGCAGATTAGAAAACCAAGAAGCATATGCAGTCTGAGTTCCCAGACAGCTGGGGGTGTGGTACGTATTGCTACTTTTAAATTTTAGACACAAGGGCTTCCAACCCACAGAGAAACTTGAATGTCAAATTAACAGATGCTGTGGTTATAACCCCCAAACCCTCACTTAACCAGCAGACACATGTACCGCATTTCCACAGGCAAAGAAAGTTAAACAATGATCTCACTAAATCAAGCCCCAAACCTGCCAGTGAGGCAAAGGAAGTTGTTTCTATTTGAATTATCCAGATTGGCTGTCAGCATGGATCACATCCACTGGATAATTGCTCGTCTTTCCTCTTCGCTTTGCTTGCATAGCCACAGCCTAGGAGTCATTGTTCAGTGGAAAGCAGCCATTACTGACATGTTTCTGTCACAACAATGATCCTGTAATAAACCAGGGACATTGAGCAAAGTGGATAGTCCTGCATGGCTGTATCTACCGTCATCCAAGGTGGGTCTAATCAGTGGTGCAAGACAGAGCGAGGTGGTCAAGCTGGATGCAGAGCCAGATTGCTGGAGAGAGTCCTGTAGTTAAATAACAAGAATTAAAAGTCGGGGGCGGGGGAGGGCAAAAGAAAAGAAAGGAAGAAGACAAAAGGAAAAGAAAGAAACCCGTGCCCCAGCATTCAACATAATTATCCAATGGAGACCAAAAAGAAGAAAATGGAATAGCATTTCCAGCTTATGGAAGAACTATGGGCATGAGTGCTTTAGGTTAGATGTCTGTACTCTTCAGTTTCTTTGGATAGTTAGGCAGGTGTGGTTACTCTGTCGGCCTCTGTTTGCCTTTCATTAGGGCCTGTCCTTCCTGACCATGAACTGTATAGGACAAAGTATTGCCTCCCAGGTCCCAAATTAAACTCCAAAGAAAGGAAAGGCCTTGGTCTCTGCTGTGGCCAGACCTCTTGCCTGAAGAGGTCCCAAATCCCTGAGGCTGGCTGCAAATCTTGTTTTGCATAGCAGATGGAATTCAAGAAAGGGGAAAGCAGGGTGCTGTTGGGGAGACTGTGGAACACTGTGCTAAGCCAGTGCCAACCTCTCATTGGCTCAACTAACAATGGGCCATCACTTTTCCTCCTGACATGCTCCTGCTTAAGCCCCCCAGGGAATCAGGCCTTGATATTAGTCATATTTCCCAATTCTGTGTGAAATTGGTCAGAGGCTGAAAATGACGTTTAGTGTGGCGGGTGTTAAATTTTGCTTTATGGTTCTCACTTTGCACCTCTCTGGCTTGGGTAGGCCTTAGAGATTACTGTACATTTTAGTTCAGTTTCATCATTCCCATATATTGCAGTTCCAGGGAATATTGCTTTCTTAAGCCTACAAACTTTTATTACTCTATCCAAAGATGAGGATAAAGTTTCAAAATTTATTGCCCAACCTGCCTCTGTGAAATACACTCACATCCGCCAGCACGAGGCTGAAAGCGCCAAATTGCACGGACATGCACGAATCAGTCAGTCACCACCCGTGAATATACAAGCAATTGACGTGTTGTGAAGATGCAGATGGTTATGCACGGATGCATATTACAACCTCCTCTTCACAGACAAAGCCGTTCCGAGACGAGCATGGATACAGACAAAACATTTGGACTAGCATATCTATTCACAAAAGAAGAACTTCTTGCCTGTTGCCCTTAATGGGTAGAAATGTTTTAAAACTCTTTCAGGCCACTCCTAAGATGTTGAAAGCACTGTTAAGACAGAACCAAATAAAACGTTATGGTTACAAAACTTATAGCAATTGCTTCTATTTCCCAGTCTTATGGAATGGTATAGAAAAGACATGTTTTTCACTCAAATGTTTTGTTTGGAAAACACCTGGATTGGAGCAAGAATAGCCATATCCTTGTCAACAAACAGATCCTCCAATGATGCACTTTGTGGTTGCAAATGCTATTCTCAGAAGGAGAGAACTTTTGAAGAAAAAATGTGAATTTGATTCAGAACTTTAAGGACTTCTTACATGAAAAACAACATTAAACACTAGTTAAACCAAAATTCAGTGTATCGGAAATCATGACATATAGAACTTCAGAGACATTTTAGAATTGCTTTAAATAAACAAGCATGGGTACCAACAACAGTTCTGTATCAATGCCCTATTTCGATCCTTTACAAAGTATAAGAGGTGAGCTGGGGACTAAAGTTATTCATGAACAGGTGGACATGATTATGAATTTTCCACATTTTCATTGTTTCTTTGTTTTGCTTCTTGAGTGATAAGGACTCTGGTTCCATCCAAATAGAGGTCTAGCTTTTGTCATTGGCTCCCAGGGGGAAGATCACCTTGAACTTCTTGTAATTCCCCAAGCCATAGATAGAGGTTTTTTTTTTTTTTTTTTTTTTTTTTTTCACAATGGGGCTGTGGAGGTTACCTGATAGTTTATGTATTTTATTATCTGCCTGAAAGGCAACCCATGAGCAAGATAGTGTTATTAGGGTGGGGCTGTCCATACCTGATAGACTTAGGGGGAGGACTGACTATGCCAGGACGGTACCCATCTGATTAGAGGGAGGAGGCTTTGGGTGATGAAGTGTGGGTTGATCTAAAGGCTCAGTGCACCCTATGTCATGAGGCCTCAATAAACACCATGGACTCAAACTCCCGGCAGCTTCCTGGGTGGGTGATCCCCTGTACATGTTGTCACACACTGATGCCAGGAGGGTAATACATCCTGAGGATGACTGACAGAAGATTTGTGTTTGCAACTCATTTAGACTCTGCCCCATGCATCTTTTTTTGCTTGGTTCTAATTAAATTCCTTCTTTTGTAACAAACATGAATGTGAGAACAATGGCTTTGAGTAAACTCTGCAAGTCTTTCTAGTCAATTATGGAATCTGAGGATGGCTTTGGATAACTCTCCAACTTGAAATTGGTGTCAAAAGTAATGGGTGGACACGGCAGTTTACAGGACTGTGGCCGTAACCTCAAAGTCTGGCTAATTCCCATATACTCCAGCCTCTCCGGAAGTCTAGGACTCAGACGAACTACCAACATCTATTCATGAAGCTATTTAGAGAACTGTGAGGAAGGCCATGCCTCAGGCTCACAGTGGAGGTGGCCCCGGTAGGTGAGGCTCCCAGGTGAAGTTGGCAGGATGGGGCTCGGGAGAAAAACGGTTCTTGTCTCTTTATTCATTTTTCTTACACAAAGCCCAGGGGTCCCCATAGGATGAGACAAGTTCTTATTGTATGGGCAAAAGACCAGGAAGAAGACCAGCCCAGGAAGACACAGCAGAAGTCAAAAAGGGAAACTAAACAGAAGGAAGAGAAAAATGTTGTAGGTCACTGCGTTGAGTGACCTTCAATTCCCAAATCCACCAAGCAGCTAGAGAGATTTCAGGCTATCGCGGCCTCACAAAGCCTCCACACCGATGTTGTAGCATATCTCCTGATTACACTACAGATGCTTTATTTTTAATAATATTTTTACTAAAATATTTCAGAGGAATTTACTAATAGAAGCAATGCTATGCTTTTAAGTGTTGGAGGTGGAAGCGGAAATTACATTTTTTTTTTTTTGGTTGACATGGAAATTAAAGTCTAGGGAAATTAAATCGCCTATGATCACATTCTACCTTCCAAACAAAAGTTTTAGAGAACAAAATATCAGAAGAGATTTCTCATCCTTGGCAACCACAACAGCAGCAAAAATTCCAAGGAGAAGCTAAGAAATAGGAAATGAAATGATTTGGGGGAAACCAATGAGGAACAGCAATGTTTTTTTTGTTTTTTTAAATTAAAAACTGAAATATATACCTGCTGAAAGGGGGAAATTAAACAAACACTGTATGATGGAGGGTAATGAAAGAAAATATTTCACCAAGAGAAATTTTCAGGATTATATCAAAGTGTTCCTCTGAAATTGATAAAAAACCCCTTTTCTTCATTTCTTCTCTCTCCCTCAGAAACTTTATTCTTTCATTAGAAGTCAGCCATGTGCAGGAATTATTGATAGCTGCAATATTTCATCTTGTATTTTTTAATCAGTCACTGCAATGCATCTGCAGCTCGTGAACTGTGCTGAGGTTTCCAAGGAAGGGTCTCAGTTGCTCGGTGCAGCTGTTCCATGGTTGGGCCCCAGCTGCATTAGCCATCCTAGGAGGGAAGAGCGAAACGCTAGAGTTAGCTTGGGCTTGGTCACTGTTGGTGAAGGGGAGAGCTGAAGAAATTCTTTCAGTCAAAATTATAACCCTTCATTGTTCGCAGAGCATAAGCACACGTATCTTATTATCTGTTTGAAAGGCAACCCATGAGCAAGACAGTGTTATTATTCACTATTGGACAGATGAACAAATAAGAGCGTGAGAGATTTACTCAGCGTCACTCTGGTAGCATGATACTCCAACATGCTGCCTCTTTCTATTATTTTCCAGAATCAAGTTCCTGTATCTGCAAATGGGGGAAAGGATAGGGAAAGGATTCAACCTTGTACTGACCACCGACGTTCTGAGCAGAGTGGCTTCTCCTGTCTTTCATTTTAATTCAGGATAAATGTCTCTTGGTTCTTTGCCAAGGTCCTCAGTGTAACTAGACTCTTATGAGCAAAAACATCCGTCCACGTGAAGTTAAGCATGTCAAATTTCCCTGACCTCTTCACTGTTCCCTGAATTCACCCCACCAATCCTCTGCTACAGTACCTACCCTTGTTTTATCTATATCTGATTGGCTATCTCCTCTTTTGATTTTATTTCTAAACATTTCCCTAAAAAAAAACAACAAAAAAAACACTGAATTCCACCTTTTCCATGAAACCCATCCTGAATAATCCTACACTTACCTTTTGCTCTCTCTCTCTCTCTCTCTCTCTCTCTCTCTCTCTCTCTCTCTCTCTCTAATGTGGTAGTCAGCTTTCCATTACTGTGACAAAATACCTGAGACAATTAACTTAAAAAGAGGAACACTTTATTTTGGCTCACAGTTTGAGGGTTTCAGTCCATGACTGCTTGGCTTTGTTGCTTTAAGCCTGTGATAAAGCACCTTATCATGATGGGAAACACATGGAGGAGAATTTTTGTACGATAACAAAAAGAAAAAGAGGAAGGGGTCAGGGTTTTTTATCCCCTTTGAGTACATGCCCACAGTGATCTAAGAATTCTCAATAGATACCGCCTCTTAAAGGTTCTGCCATCTCCCAGAAGCACCACAGGCTTGTGATGAGGCCTTTAACACATAGGCCTTTCAGAGACTTTCTAACAGAACTATAGTATCTTGTCACTTAAAGGTGGGTTGTGGAAAGAGTACCAGATTGAGAATCGTGAGCATACTCTTCTGGTCACTCTGCACTGACAAGCACTGAGGGTCCTTAAGTCAGGTCTGCAACATATCCAGGTTTGTTTCTTTCTCTATGAAATGAGGCCCATTAGAGTAGATGTTCTTTAAAAGCCATAATCAAAGTTGATAATATGTGATTTTACACATGGCTGGATACACATGATTATATATGATATACATGGCTAGTACATTTATCAAAATTACTTCATTTCCAAGTTTTGCTTCTACAGTGAAATTTATAAGCCACATTGTAAATTTCTTTCATAACTTCCCAAGTCCCAGTGCATGAATAAATTTTATTATACTTTTTTTTCCTGATCAACTGATGGGTTGATCAAAAAATTACATCACTGATATTTATATTTAGTCTTTTGAGGGGATGTCTGAAAGGAATTCAAGGTGACCATGAACTGGTCATTATAGATAAGACTTGTCTCCTAAATATAGATAGTGTGTGTATTATTAATAATAATAGCTAACATTTCTGAGCCCATATTAAACATCCACCTCTGTTCTAAGTGCTCTTCGTAATTACTCATTGAATTTCCACGATAATCATATAACAGGCATATTTTAATCTCTTTTACTAAAGAGGAAATGGTGATGTGCAGGATTTGCTCCATATCAGAAAGGTAATAAGTGTCAGAGTCAAGATTGGAAAGGCAGTCTGACTCCAGAACTGGTACTTTCCCCCATGCACCATGCTTATGTCCTATATGTGTATAAAGGAGGACCATGTACACAGGAAAAGTACGTGTGATGCTAACCAGTTGCTTGTTTTCTTCATTTATGGAGAGAGAGAGAAGTGTGTGAGAGATTTCTAAGGTACTATGATTTCTAAGGTACTATGAAATTTTAGAAATGTTTCACTTTAAATTGTCAATGGTAGCTTTTCTGTCATTACATAAATGTGCTTTAAATTTAGCTCAGCCTTTAATTACCAGTTAATCCAAGAGGAAACAAAAAAAGAATATAAAATGTTATAGTAGTATGTCCATACTTTTTAACAGGATGCGTGTGTGTGTGTGTGTGTGTGTGTGTGTGTGTTGTGTATGTGTGTGTTAGGGTGCGTATATATTAAGTATGGGTGGACATATATAAAAAATGGAAACATAAAATATAAACAGTGAGTACACATTGGGGATAGGATTATGGTGTGGCAACATTCCCTCTTTTTATGATTTTCTCTAATTTTCAAATTTTCTAAAATGTAATTGCATTTTCAAATAAACTTCATTTTGAATCTGCAGCCCCATTAAGTCTGAGTTTAGTTTTAGCACCCCACATATGGCAGGTTGCCGCTTTGGCTCCTTCAAAGCCATTTCCAGTGTCTCTCTGAGCTGAATAGGCTTAGTAAAATAAAACATCTTCCATGCTTAAATTGTCTCTCAGTCTTCTTCAAAGTGAGATTGCATGGGCTTTGGGGGAGCAATCTGTTGTTTCCCAAAGTTTGAAGAAACAGAGAAGACAGGAGAGAGACAATAACCTAGTGGGGTGTGAAATTATACAGGTATCTTTAAAGTCAAGACAAGTCATTGTTTTTACCCAGGTCTCCTCCTACCCCCAACAGTTTTGCGTGAAAGAATACTGAATATTTAGGATGCCAGCCATTGACATATGAAGACCAGTTACCCACATGGATCTCCAGCCTGAATTGTATAGCTTGAGAGTCCTTTCACTGAACAACCTCTTGTCCCCAAGAAGAGAAAATCCAAAGTCACAGGCTGAGCTGAGGCTCCTCTCAGCAAAAATGCCCTTTGCTAATAAGCCTGAATAGTCTGAAGCTGTGGCTTTCTGATTAATAACAGTTACTTTAAAAATGTCTGTCTGATTCCCAAATGGAAAAGCCATTCTGTATAATACATAAGCTGTCTCTATCATTCAAGTTTGTGATTAGAGGATAGGTTAATGGATTTGAGTAGGTCTCATTCATGCATTATATCATTTATTGATTCAACAAACATTTACTGATTGCCTACTATGTGCCCTACCCTAAACCAGGTATTGGGACCAAAATAGAAAACAATGTGCTTAGCCTGATTCAGGAAGCTGAGACTCTAATGAGAGTTACATTTAAGTGCACAGAATTATAAGGCAACAGGCAATTGCAGTCTTAGACTTGTGAACCAATTTCTTAGGTAGGAAATAAAAATATTTTGAGTTGTACAAGACTGCATGAAAATACTTACACAGAAGTACAAACAAATTTGATTAAGTTCTAAACATTGTTGAGACCAATTTCTTTATCTTCCAAACTGTAGCACCATCCTGTTCAAACTGAGATCTAATATGCTACCTATCTATGCTTGGTAAATTCAGACATATACTCTAAATAATAGCAACTTTATTTGCAGAGCATCTTTTATCTTGTTAGTCCATAACGTGTTTTATAAACTCAATAAATGACCGTAATATATTTTTATAAACATTGGTTAAAACACTGACATTTTAATATATTTCATGTCATAAAGTATATTAGTTTTCTAAAAAAGCCCTCCAACAGTAATTTTGTTAGTACTTACATTAAAGGTTGTCACTTGCACTTCATAAAACATGTCAATCTGTTGACAGTCATAGGATAGCAATTTGTTTTCTCCTGATAGGGGCATTCCTTCCTAACAAACTACTGAATATTCTTTTGACATCTACCCTCATTTTCCTTTATTTAATTTTATGTAAGTGAAAACCGATGAGAGGAAGAGAGCAGAAGATGTGCACACAATCACCTTTTTCTGGGGGATAATCCTCCTGTGATCCCAGTGTAATGCAAATGGACTAAAAATGTGTGTGATGTTAATTTAGTGTCTTGTGAGAAAGCATCTGGAGTTTAATGTAGCAATGTAGACTATGCAAAAAAAAAATGTAATCATAATGCCGGCAAGGCTCAGTGCTCTGGATGAAGCCCAAATTGTTAGTCAGCACCACGAGGTCATTTAAAACCAAGCTGGAGAGAAGGGAATTCACAGGATATGCCACAACATATATTCCGCAGTACCTCAGACCGTCCACCATTTGGTTACAACACAAAAAACAATTCCAGAGAGAGCTTTGTATACACAGATGTAAGAGAAGTCACATTCTGGGGAAGCAGAAGAGAAAGTGCTGCCTCTTTGCTTTATAGCCTGTCTTTGTGTTAGGGGTCATTTTGCATGCCTTTCATCTGATAATCATGAAGGTAGGTTAAATAAGTACATTGTCATAGAAAAAATTCAGTTTGCACCATGAGAGTGCAGTTAGGGGAACCTCTACCCAGTTGAGGACCCTCTGTGACCAGAACAGGACCTTGAAATTTAAAACTGGTGGAATGGGTCTATCATTGCTTCCTAACAAACTACTGGGTGTTCTTTTGACATCTACCCTGTTTTTCCCTAATTTAATTTTATGCAAATGAAAACTGAAAGAGAGGATAAGAGCAGAAGATGTTCACACAATCACCTTTCTGGTGATTATGGGATAATACATTTTTGAAAAAAGAAAATGTAGTGGAAGTGCTAGGTCATTGAACTCATTCCAAGGTTCTGTGATAAATCCAACTTGAGCTTACCTGGATATGTGTTTCCCAGAAAGTATGTTGGATGAGAAGACGGAAATATGTATGAGTTGTTGGAGCAGTATTTTATTCACTTCATGAATGCGGAGAGGCTGATAGGAAGTGTTTTGATGATTTGCTTGCTTAAGCTATGTCTATGATATTTTGACATCATCATTTTCACTGCAGATAAATAATTTGATGTCTAGAATGTGTGTTTATTATGTTAGAATTCCCTCAAGCTAATGGCTGAGCACACTGCGAATTTCATTTTCAAAAAGATTTCATCTAAATT